GAAACATATTTTCGTGAACACTAGCGACAAGTTTTCAGTTTGGTTTTCTACTAAATGCGCCGCCTTTGTTTCAAAAAGAATAGAACTCAACACTTGAAAGATTGAAAGTTCAAAGCCCAGTTGCAAGTATTCCATTCAGTTTAATTAGTTGTCAGGCAATACGTCTACAGGTAACCAAAGTTAAGCCTAACTGGTCCGAGGCACACAGGTGAATCAATGACTACTTCAATGTTCTTCTAAGAACTAAGCAGTGAGCTTTATGGAAATATTACAGCAGGATAACTCTTATTTGAGTTAGCACAGCACAGGTATAATTTTCATTATACCTCATTAAATTCCAGTAGAACTTGACAAGATGACATAAATATGCATGTAACTTAGTATTGTTTACAAGGTTAAATAAGGATAGCTGAACATTGAAACTTAGAATGCAAAATTTGTGGAACAGCTATACTTCTAAACATAATATACGCACTTTGCTCCGATGTATGCATCACACACTCAATAATATCAGTTGGAACAATTTGACACCACGTGATTTCATCAAGACATGACTCCAATTCAATGCAGTTCAATTCCTCAAAGTATCTATTCTATGGTATATATAAAAACATGGAATCGACACAAAGCTATGTACAAGGCGAAGTATAAAATAAAACCTCACATTCTCATAATGAATGGCTTGACAAAGATAAAGACTCCAATCTTGCATCAACAATCTTCAACAACTCAATTGCCTTGTTCTTTCCCTTCTCGCTCCCATTCTGTGACACATCAACGATCCCATCAAGCACCCTTTTTTCCATTTTTCCGCGTACAACTTTGGCAACCTTCTCGCCCCCACAATACACCAAGTTCAACAACGCGGAAACTGCATTCTCCTTAGTCCTATAACTCGATCCTGTTGAATTATCCAACAAATCCATCAACACTCCTAACCCTGAAACCTTCTTGAATGCTTCCCAACTCTCTTCACACCCTGCAACTTGTGCAATCACAGCTGTGGCATCCTCAACAAGCCCCACTCTCCCATCCTTCAGAATTAATGAAAACAGAGCCTGTACTGCTCCTAGCTCCACCATCTGCGCACGATTCAAAGGGTAAAGCGCAATGCCAAATAAAGCCCTCAATGAATCCTTAATTGACCTCGCCACTGACCCTGGACTCCTTATGATCTCCACAAGCCCAAATATTATGTCCCGCTTGTGCCCAATAATGGGGCGAAACGATTCTATAGTCAACAGGCTAAAAATAGTGGCGGCAGCGCACTGGGCAACAAAAGGGGAAGCAGGGTTTCGCAGGGCATGTGAAAGGGCATCAAGAACACCATGAGACGATATCAAATCCTCCTTGGAGGATATGGACAGGTTCAAGATCGTGGCAGTAGCATTCTCTTGAAGAGTCACAACCGTTGAATAAAGGGATTCCGAAATCAAAGGAATCGCGTTAGCCTCTGCAATTAACGGGCGGCTTTCGGGGTCATTCTTTGAAAGCAAACGCAGCTCACACAAAGCTTCTGTGCGGGTTTGTTCAGAAACCGAGGTGAGCTTTGTTACAAGGGTTTTCACTGTTCTTCGTTTGACAACCTCCATTTCAATTGATTCAAGAAACCATATGGATCAATCTTTCGCTGTATTAAGAGGAAATATGAACGAGATTTCGTGTGTATACACGTATGTTGACTTAAGGGAAAAGTCTTATTGATTGTTCGAGCTTTTTCTGCTAAAAAAAAATAATATTTATCACGTGTATGGTTGTTGATACAAGTAGGTTTAATTTTATCAAGAAGAAGATGAGAAAATGTAGAATTTGACTGCGTAAAGCAGTTGTTGGGAGGCATTAGATGGTGGCGTGCGTCACTGTCCGGATTCCGCGTCAAAAGGCTGAGGTCCCTTTTTCTGGTGGCCTATGCTATTCTTCAACGGTAAAAATTGTGGAATTTTTTATTTGAGGAGGACTAGAAATTAATATTTCAAACGCAAAGAGATCCATGATATATTTTCAGGTCAAAATTACAAAATCATGATAATTTAATTCAATTCAAGTTTCCATTGATCTTTTGCATTAAATTCAACATAAATTAACAAAATTCAAATGCAAAATTTGACAATCAGCTAGCTAGCTAGCTGCAGGTTTCACGGGCCACACCGAGCTTGGAATTGGGCACGTCAATCAGGATCCGGTGGTTCTGCTGCTGGAAGTTCGCGATTACGTTCAGAACAGAGTTGACATTGTCGGCCGCCCCTGCCATGGCCAAGCAGGAAGTGGTGCCGGCGGTGCTCCGGATGATGAAATTGTCCTGCGGCAGTGTGACGTTCATGCCGGAGAATATGAAGGTGATGGAGGGAATGGTAATCGGCACGATGTAGCAGGTGTCAAAGCCGCCAAGGGAGGTCACGGTGGCATTGCCCATCCGCCGCCGGAACTCGTCTCGAACTGGGATATAGGCTGCCTTCACCAGATTAGTGAAGATAGTGCCTGTTTGAAATTAACACGAAAAGAAAGACCTATGATACATCCATCTTAAAGCTAAAAATTGCAAAAAAAGTTAGAAAAATTTACCAGAATCAATGACTGTTCCAGCACCAGTGCTGGGATCGAAGGCAAATGCGGTGGCTGGAATATCAACAACTTTATTTCCAACCTTAATTGCCATTAGATTCACATAATAGAGTGATGATCTTCTTGGATTTTTAAGCAATTGAGTATATTTGATCTTCTTGGGTTGGCCGATGGGTCCCAATCTTAGTGATCCACTGAAATTGGTGGATTTGTAGCCGGGCAAGCAGTATGAGAATGTGGACTTGTACAGACTATCTGTTTGAGACAATAAAGAAAGTGGGCCTCGCCCCAACCCCAACAAACCCTGCGCCGGCAGGGAGCTGCCTGTGGAAGTTTGGATGCAGCCGAAGGTGTAGCCAGGGACCGGGTCAGTGGCGAGGACGAGGGTGTCCTGCACAAGGTTGGCAGCGAAGGCGGAGCCACCGTATGTCTTGTTGAAGCCACATGTGGTGCCTGCACATGTTGGGTTGGGTACCTGAATAAAATTTATGCCAGTAGATTTGAAACCCGTCCAAATATTATAAGTAGTCAAGGGTTAAATTGTTCGAGGTTGGTCAGTAGGTAATCAATTGAATTTGTCATAGTTAAAATGGCCGATTGATTGGCTTTTAACCCGCCTTTTTAAGAACGTGTTTTCAGTTATAATCCAATTGGTTTTCGAGTCAATTCTTAATTTTTCTAGTCGACCATCCAAGTAGGGCCAATTTTAAACAGTGGATTTTAGTGTTCATTCACGGGTCACACTTTGTGGCTTTTCCTACAATCCGGAAAAAGAGAAGGACAGCGCACAAGCATATCACATACTATAACTTCATGGTGGCGCGTGAATATATGAAGAAAGCCGGAATATACCTGTTTGCACTGGTCTGCACTGCAATCCACAGTCTTAAAAGTGGTAGAATTTGCCGAATCAAACACCATGGTGGTGGAGGAGCAGCCGACACAGCCAGTACATGGAACCCAAGCAGCATCATTGCTGGTGTCTACAGCCAAGAGCAGGGTCTGGGGAGGGGTTCCAATCTTAGCCCTGACAATGTAAGTTGGGTTCTGAGTAATGGTCCTGCCAGAGGCAATTGGGACAATGGACTTGCTCGCAACCAGGCTGGACAAGTATTGGAGCCTAGCTTTGTCCTTGGATTGCATTTGGAGGACATTGTCTTGCCATGAGAGTGGTGTTTTAGGCCTGAATGGGGAGCAAGGACTGTTGACATGGATGACTTGAAGGGTTGAGCCCTGGTCTTGAATGTTGCAGTTGGGGCTGAGCCCTTTAACCAGAGAGAAAAACAGAACGACTAAGGATAACAGAAGGGTCCTCATGGCTAGCTACTGATGGTTTATAGGAAGTGAGTGAATGAGTATTTATAGTTGGAACTTGGGAGCTCTATAGTAGCTAATATTCGTGTGTATGTTGTTGAACCAATCGATCTTAAAGTTTAGGCTATCAAATCGATTCATATTGTATATTATTTAAATAGTCATCAACACGTCATCTCACGTATAGACGTGTATATGATTATACTTGTAATCAATCATACATTATCTGATAAAATTATCTGATATCTCTTCTTTAAACGTGTTTAGTATAATATAATTTGACAGTTGTCCCGTCCATCCGGCGTAGAATTAGGTGGAGTATAAAGTGAATGTGGTGTAGGGTTGTGTTTGTACCATACTGTCTTCCATTAGTTTTTTGTATGTTTTTTGGCAAAGACTCTTGTGCCTATGTCCCATTCATCATCACGGAGATGGTACTAAAATTTATATATCTAGTTACATTTTTGTATTTAACGGTATTTTCCTAGGAATAATAACAAGATTTTGGAAATAGCAACGAAAGATTACATCGAAACTTGCTAAATGTAGAAAAAAAAATTCCGAGTCCCATAAAATTTTACTTGTCGTGCTTTTAATGGAAAGGTAAATTCACATTTTGAAGATAAAAGTCGATTGTCTTCTTCTTGTTTATGTTCCCTTACATTTTTTGTTCATTAGTTGAAGAGTAATGCTATTCATCCCCACTGAGCATGAAAACACAATCTATATGACGTTAATGTGACATTAAATGATAGGTGAAATTAAATAAGTCATTTAATTTCACCTTTTATTTAGCCTATCATTTAATGACACATAGATTGTGTTTTCATCTCCACTGAGGATGAATGACATTACTCTTAGTGGAAAGTTAGTAGGTTGCAGTGGCAATGAAATCTATATTATGTGAAACGGATCTTAGAAAATGTAATTAATTATTGTTGCAACAAACAAACAAATTAGATAGCCCAAACAAAAAAGTGAGCGGTCAATTGGCAATCTGCCATTTGCAAAGTGGCATTGTAGAATTTGCACGTGATTCCTCCTGTTTTGAGTGTGACATTCGTTTTGACCTTTTTATTTAAAACCTGTTTGGGTCGAATTAAAAATCTGATTTTAATTTAAGTTAAAGTTAAACAATTAATATTAACCATATTTTTTATGGGTCCCACATCTTTTCAACCACACATTTCAAAAACTTCTATCACAATCCATTAAAATACTAATTTTAATTTCTATCAAACACCCTCTTATTTTATTTTCCCCATGTAGATCCCTTTTTTTGACTCTAGTTTAATGATTTGGCCTCATTATTTGAAATTTTAATAGTTGAAATAATATATATTTTTTAAATGTTTGATTAAAAAAGAAGGGAAAAAGTTTTGAAATTACGTGTAATATTATTTTATTGAAGAATAAGTGGTTGATAACAAAAGAAAGAAAAATGAATTATAATTTTAATGGGACCAAACATGGACGAAAATTTGGAAAAATAAAAAATAAAAATTAATTTTGAAATACTTTTTTTTTTTTTAAGAATGTGTGGTTAAAAAATAAAAAATTCTATTTACATGTATGTTATCTAATGGAAAAATATGTAGTTGAAAATTCCCTTATAGGAACCTGATTGGCTTATGTTACATTAATAAAAATAGAGGTTTTTTTCAAGAAATATTTATTGATTTCTCTTCATATTTTATTTGATTTAATTTTTTCATATGTAAATTAACCAATTGATTTAAGAGCCTGTTTGGTGCCTATTAAAATGAAAGAATGCATTTTTTTGAAGTGATGTGATGGAGAATATGTTGTTGAAAATGAAGGAAAAATTATTGATGTGATGATAAATATTATTTTATTGAAAAATATGTGGTTGAAAATGAATAGAAGAATTAAAATGAAAAAAATAATGTGGGTCAAACAGGGGCTAAATGTGATTTCAATAGTTTAAGAAGTGGAATATTGAAATATGTGATTTATTAAATATGATAATTGTACATTAAAAATTAGAGAGTAAGTTTGACTCTCTAAATTTGGATAACAAAACTCACTCTTTATTTTAAAAAGTTAAAATAGAAGTCTCGTGGAACTCATATTGAAGCACGACTATCTAAAATAAAGAGTATTTTGTATTTAGAGTTTCTCGGAGATATTTTAAATAGGTCGATGTCGGAGCAGAGCGCACCAAACGAAATGGAGCGAGGGCGTTGCGGTATGATACATGTATTTTTTAATTTTTCCTTAAAGTTTTGTACTGACTCTAAAATCTTTTATGTGTAAGGGTTACTATATATATATTATGTAGCCCTATTATTCATATAT